GTGTAATGAACAAAAGTAGTGGGAAATGTAAAAACATTTGTAAACTGGAAAATAGGTTTACAAATGTGAGACAAAATGATCACAGCAGTATTCAGTATTCAGTGACTTAAAGAATCTTGAGGAAACTTTTGTAAACTGAAGGACAATAAAATGGCTGTAGCATCAAGGAAAGAATGGGAAAGTAGGAAATGGCATGTGGATTTTAAATTTAGGGTAGCGGTGTGTTCAGTTTTGGCAGGCTACTAGGACTGAAGATGTCCTGTAGGAACATAGCAGTTTGGCACGTGAGACTTCCTGATGAACTTTTAAGTATTTTTACCTAGAATTAATTTTGTTCATAGATCACAAACTGCTAGTCAGTGCGACACTGAATATACAAGATGAGATCTTATGCTATAGTAGTAGGAACAGAAAAAGAAATAAAGAGCAAATGCTTCTCACTGTAAATACTTTCTATAAAGAAAATAGAAAATGTTAGAAGATATAAAGGAAGTTTGTAGTTAGGATGGGAATGGGAGTAGGAATGGAAATCTATGGTCAGAGATGGCCTCTCTAAGTATGATATTTAAGCTGCCAACTAAAGGTGAGAAAGAGCCTGCCATGTGAAAGTCTAAAAGAGGAAATTCTGAATGGAGAGAACAAAGGATCACATCATTTTGCTCTTAACACCCTGGAATAGGCAGAAAGCCATCATCATAATTATTTTTTATGATTACAGTATGTATAACAAATACAAAATAGAATCCTGGCACATTTTAGATGCTTCCTAAATGTTTTTTTTTTTTTTTTCCTTTTAAAGAAAGTTTGCTATACTTTTGAGGTTCGTTCTTTCTTTCTCAGTCTTTTTCTTTTCTTTCTTTCCTTTTTTTTTTCTTCTTTTCTTTTCTTTCTTGACAGGGTATCACTTTGTTGCCTGTGCTAGTGCAGTCAGTAGTGTGATTTCAGCTCACTGCAGCCTTGACCTTCCAGGGTAACGTGATCCTTCCATCTCAGTCTTCTGGCTATCTGGGATTACAGGCATGCAACACCATGCCCAGCTAATTTATGTGTCTTTTGTACAGATGGGGTTTGACCATTTTTTCCAGGCTGGTTTCAAACTCCTGGGTTCAAGCAATCCACCCACCTTGGCCTCCCAAAGTCTTAAGATTAAAGGTGTGATCCACTGCCCCTGGCCTGATGTATGCAGCCAATCACCATGGCACGTGTATACCTATGTAACAGACCTGCATGTTCTGCACATATACTCCAGAACTTAAAGTATAATAAAAAAATGAATAGTTGGGCAGTTGATCACGTATTTTCTTGCTTTTATTTAAATATAAAATAAAAATTGTATTACTAAATTATCATTCTATTCAACCTTTTTTTTTTCTATCAGTAAAGATTTTATCAAAAAATATGTAGGTTTTTCCAAGTCTTTGTTAACCTAAAGGAAGCATCTTCTATGGTGTTCTATTGATGCTCAATATGACATATTTCCAAGTTTTCTATCATAAATATCTTAACACTGAAATATTTATGAGGATATTTAAAATATTTTAATATTGTAAGTATTATACCAAGTAGTGTGTGTGTGTGTGTGTGTAAGTTTTGAGATGGAGTCTTGCTCTTTCACCCGGGCTGGAGTGCAGTGGTCTGAACTCTGCTCCCTGCAACCTCCGCCTCCTGTGTTTAAGCAATTCTCTTGTTTCATCCTCCCAAGTAGCTGGGACTACAGGTGCACACTACCAATCCGGGCTAATTTTTTTTATTTTTAGTAGAGACAGAGTTATCACCGTATTGGTCAGGCTGCTCTCAAACTCCTGACCATGCGTGTCAGCCTGCCAAAGTGCTGAAATTACAAATGTAAGCCAGCGCACCTGTATGTGTGCGTGTGTGTGTGTGTTTGTGTGTGTATGTATGTATGTATGTATTTTCTTTTTTTGAGACAGAATCTTGCTCTGTCACCAGGCGCCAGGCTGGAGTGCAGTGGCATGATCTAGGCTCACTGCAACCTCTGCCTCCCGGGTTCAAGCAATTCTCCTGCCTCAGCCTCCCAAGTAGCCAGGTCTACAGGTACACGCCACCACGCCCAGCTAATTTTTGTATTTTTTAGTAGAGACGGTGTTTCACCATGTTGGCCAGGATGGTCTCCATCTCTTGACCTCATGATAAGCCCGCCTCAGCCTCCCAAAGTGCTGGGATTACAGGCATGAGCCACCGCGTTAGGCTGACAATATGTATTTTTTAAATGTTTTCTTATGTTTGGAGGAGATTGCAAAGTAGAGTTAGGTACTTTGAAGCTAGTTCCTGACTGAAATATGCACATGCTAATATTTTGTCTGTGAATATGTTTCCTTTGCGCTGCCATGCTTGGATAAGCAAGTTGATGGACATATGAAGATAACATATGAGCCTAATCTAGAAAGCGTAGATGACATTCTCTACTGGAATGCTTTGGTTTTCAGTACATGCTTCTCTATTTTTTAAGTCAAATTAGTTTTAAAATACTAAAATGAAATTTTGGGTGAGACAGAGTCTTGCTCTGTTGCCTAGGCTGGAGTGCAGTGGCATGATCTTGGCTTGCAACAGTCTCCACCTCCCAGGCTCAAGTAATCCTCCCACATCAGCCTCCCAAGTAGCTGGGATTACAGGCACACACCACAATGCCTAATTTTTATTTTTATTTTTTTGGTAGAGATAGTTTCTCATTATGTTGCCCAAGCTCGTCTTGAATTCCAAGCTCAAGCAATCCACCTACCTTGGTTTTGCAAAGGGTTGGGATAAGAGGGAGCCACCAACTTGGGTAAACTGAGATTTATTTAAGTAAATTGATTAGTGCTAGGTGTGGTAGTGCACATCGGTTATCTCAACTCTTTGCGAGGCAGAAGTGGAAGGATTAAGACCAGGGGTGTGGGCTGGGCAAGGTGGCTCACACCTATAATCCCAGCACTTTGGGAGGCCAACACGGGTGGATCATGAGGTCAAGAGATCGAGACCATCCTGGTCAACATGGTGAAATCCAGTCTCTACTAAAATACAAAAAAAAAGCTTACCTGGGTGTGGTAACATACGCCTATAGTCCCAGCTACTCAGGAGGCTGAGGCTGGAGAATTGCTTGAACCAGGGAGGTGGAGGTTGTAGTGAGCTGAGATCATGCCACTGCATTCCAGCCTGGCACCTGGTGACAGAGTGAGACTCTGTCTCAAAAAAAAAAAAAAGGGGGTGGAGTTTGAGACCAGCCTGGGCAATGCAGTAAGACCTTGTCTCTACAAAAATAACAATAAAAAAGTAGCCCAGCATGATGGTATGCACCTGTAGTTCCAGCTACTCAGGAAGTTGAGGTGGGAAGAATACTTGAGGTTGGGAGGTTGAGATTGCAGTGAGCCATAATCATGCCACTACATTCCAGCCCTGGGTGACAGGGTGAGACCCTTTTTCAAAAAAAGAGAAAAAATTAATAAAGTCTTTATGCAACTCATTATAATTTTGTAAACGGAAACTCATGCTTGATATTACCTCAACAGTATATCCCCAAGAAAGTGTCACAGCCTTTACCTAGACCTTAAAAAAAAATACAGTATAGTCAATGTAAAAGGAGAAGGTAAGAATACTATTTTATTTAAAAAGTAATTTGATGGATTTTTTTTAAAAAATATGAGCACCAATATATTCAAATAGCTAAAGAAAATGTTCTATTAAATATATAATAAGGAGAAGTAAAATTTTGGTAAGTTGTGTATCTAATCAGGACTCAGTAGTTGAGTCTATTGAGAGTACCATTAAAGGAGCTGAATTATTAGTTTTCGTTTTAAGATACTCTAAAATCTGAGGCAAGTCAGGAAAGAGGGAAGAGGAAATGAATGAGAGAGAAAGAATGAGGAAGGCAGAGTGTACATGGAATAAATGAAGAAACAGTATGCAGGTGTATGTAAAGGAGGGTAGTAAAGTCAAATTTATTTGTGGAAGGAAGAGCAGGATGATAGAAATAGGAAAGAAGGTAATGTCAGCTTCCAGCACCAAAATGTGTCAGAGAATGAGAGTAAATTTTCCTGCTCTTGCTGTCATTCTCACTATTGGAGAGGCATTAAGGATGGAGGTACCTCACCACACAGACCTGTGTTTTATCTGCCATAGATGATTATCACCATAAATGGTCAGCCATGTATGGCCATAATTTAGTTTTATAGAGAATGTTATAACTTCATCAGATAGTATCATATAGGCCAGATTAACATAATTGAATAGTGTTGTGATTCATGAAGAGAAAGTTAGAGGAGGTACAGCCTGATGAAAAGTTTACTAGAAACATTATGGCTTATAATACAGAATTAAATTCATTGCCTTAACAGGGAAGAAATTGAGGCTAAGTTCCAGATGGGCAATTAAGGTAAACAAATGTGGAAGCACATTAGTGTAGAACAGAGCATCCAAATTTTCATGAATTAGTTGAGTAGCTTCTGGAAAATGGACATTCTCATTCAGCACGTGTGGGATTCTGCCCTTCTCAGGAGTACTCCGGTGGTGTTGGCGCTGTTCCTTGGACACAGCTCAGAATAACAAGGAAATAGCCTTCCTTTAGAGAAATCTGGAAAAAGAACCATTGGACAGCAATTAAAAAAAAAAAATAACTATCAAGTGAAAGAATTAATCTCCTTTTATTTCTGAAGTAGGATTCTGGCCAAGAGGAGGCAGAATGAGATGAAAAAAGAAATTACTGGTATATACTACTGCTGAATACAGTATGAAAATGAAAAATGATTCATTTACAGTATGAAAAAAAAATTCTCGCAATTATCTAAAAAAAGCAGGAAAAGAAGCATCAGGATGACAGTTCTAAAGATTACTTTTGCAAAGCAAGAGGGACTGTGAAAGGGCAAGGGCGAGGATGTTTGTTGGGGGACTTTAGAATTAAAACCAAGGAAACTTGAGACACCTCACTTTCAGTTCCTTGGGCGTATGCCCAGTCTAGCAAAAGCCATTATTGCTGTGGAGAGTACTGGAGGCAGGAGGGAGTGCTAGAATTGGGGTAAATCACAGCAGCTAATTTCTTTTCATAACTGTAAGGCCTCAGAGCAAGAAGTTTCATTGACATGAGTGAATAAGATGTGATTAAGTTGCATTTTGGCTAATATTTTGGGGCTCAGCCAGTTCTATGATATGATAGCTATTTTACAAAAGTGGTTTACAGAGTAAAATGACATACCAAACTTAGCTAATTTTAGAGGCAGTCGTATTATAAAATTTATTCTGTGAATACTAAAATCGTCATTCTCTACGAATACTGCACTGATCCTTGGAAATATAAAAGTTTATTCTTTTCCATCAAGACTGTGGCAAGTCAATGTTTTCTCTTTGCTATTGAAAGCTTATTCTATATGGTTTATTTGATGTGTTTTAAATCTTGCATGATTGGGTCAAGGAGCTCTTAAAGGGTCAAATGAGAGGATATGAGAAATGTAGGTGCTTTAGTAGCCAATGTGGGTATGGGAAAATGAGAATTTTGAGAAACTTATTTCATAAATGTGTATCATAGCTGATCAATTCATAACATTTTCTTTGATGGGAGGTGAATCATACAGTCACCTGAACTGGCATTCCAACTGTGTATTTCCTAAGTGACAGGATGAGGGGAAGCACATATAAATATTTGTGGTCTTCTGACATCAATGCCTCTAACGTTTCGAGTTTAAATATTCCGTAGCATTCACCATCAGCCTTGATGTTGATTCTCTCAGGTTATGATTTGCTCCACTGTTTAATGGTCCCTTTTATCCTTATCACCCCAATGTGTTCACATTAATATCCATACTATTCTATTTTAGTTATAGGCATTTGAAACAATCTTACTTTTGAAATATAAACTTTTGTGATTTAGGGATCCTATATTCCTATTTTACTCGGTGTATTTCCATCACGTTGCTGTCCTAGGCAATGAAAAGAAGATGCCAAAAAGAACTCTCAAAACCTTAAGTAATTATTTTCATAGCCAGGCATGAGGACTCAGCTTGACACTAACACTGCATGAATGTTTTGTTGGCCCTGTCACACCTACACATAATTGATAACATGTCCTCTTTGCTTTGTAGCACCTCCTGAATAACATCCTTACTTGAAGGTAATTATGTATATTTATTTTTAATTACTAACTTTATATTGTATAAAATATATATGATTGATTAGTTATTTCGTTTTAAAACCCATTCAGCCTACCATTGAAATGGAATATGCTGTTGTGAGAGAAGCAGTACAAAGAAAGAATGTATACATACGAGAGCAGGTACATTTTCAATAAAACTGGAATGCTGGAAATAAGTACATTAAATGATTGGAAATACTCACATTCTTCTTACTCCTAATTCTTTTTATTCTAAATTGCATGGAACGCACTGACATAAATGTTATTGTTGGTATCCATATCTTAATAAAAATTAATTTAGAAGTATTAGAAAACAAGATTTTAAAAATATGAATTTTAACTCAGATATTTCTATTTTAATATTTTGAATAGCATAACATTTCCAATATGGAATTTTTATACTTGTCAGGGATTCAAAGCAGTGAATTTTGGGACTCTGAGATAGTTCGTGTCTTATGTGCTAGTTGGAGTTCTGATATTTACCTAAAGGAAAGCTTTACTGAGATGTCAGTTTCTGTATTAACTTTAGAGATTTCCTGTTAATGTTATTACACTGATGATCTGAAGCCAATGAGATGTTCTGATGAGCAGACTGTGTGCACATGTGTGCGTATGGGTGTGCATATGGGTGTGTTTGTAGCATCTTTGATTATCAAGAACTAGGAAAGTAATTATTCATTCATAACTGGAAGACAGTCTTTTAAAATGGTTGTTTTTGAGACTTTTTGGTATAAAAGGTTTTTTAAAAAAAAGTTTCATAGAGGTGACCAACATCATGAACATCATTGAGGCTACCAACATCATTGGTTGTTTTCCATTTCAATACCCTTTTGAAATCCTTAACTATGTTGTGATGCTCAGAAATAATATGCAGAATTTTTGTGTCCTAAAATGGAATGTGAGTTGTTCTACACTTTACATATCTTTCTGTCACTTTATTTTGTGTACTTTGTATATTTTCCAGATGTATCCACATTGATGTGATTAGCTCTGGTTTAATTCATTTTACACTTTTTATTGTATTCCCTTATATCACTCTACCACATTTAATTAGACTCTCCTGTTGCTGATAAATGAAAAAAAAAAAAAAAGAGTAAAAGAAAAATGGGCTGGGCATGGTGGCTGACACCTGTAATCCCAGCATTTTGGGAGGTTGAGGTGGGCAGATCACGAGGTCAGGAGATCAAGACCATCCTGGCCAACATGGTGAAACTCCATCTCTATTAAAATATAAAAAATTAGCTGGGCATGATGGTGCATGCCTGTAGTCCCACCTATTTGGGAGGCTGAGGCACAGAAATCACTTGAATCCGGGAGGCAGAGGTTGCAGTGAGCCAAAATTGTGCCACTGCACTCCAGTCTGGCAACAGAAAAAGACTGTTTCAAACAAAAAAAGAAAAAGAAAAATAATATCAGATTAAAATGGGCTTTTGTTTAATCAGTTTGTATCTGCGAATATTTACGTATCTGCGAATATTTAAGTATCTGCGAATATTTAATATGAGAGTTTAAGGCTGAGAAGTTCAGAATGCAAGCATTCACCACCATATTTTACAAATGCCCTTAGAATTATGACTCATGAGCCTGTAGCCTATGAAGTTATGACAACTCATTTCTCTAAAGAGGTTTACTGTTCTCTAAAGAGAAAAAAAAAAAAAAAAGACTGAAAATAGCAAATGACATTCTCTTATTTGACCTCTTGGACATCCTCGAATGAAACTGCAACGTACTCATATCAAAATTCAGAACCATTGTTTTGCACAATATATATAGTTTGTGAATGTCTCGTGATCATGAGCCCTTGATGATGAAATGGCCTTTCAAGTTTTACTTTTGCATTTTTTGCTCTTTTCTTGTCTTACAAAAGCTTAAATTGAACAGTTTTATTTCTACAGAGAGCAGGAATATAATTTTTTAATATATTTCTGTCCTGTCTCATGGCACTGTAAACTCTTCAGCTCTAGTGTGGACCTAGACTTATTTTTACATGGGAACAACTGGGTTTATTTTTTTGTTGCTGTTGTTTTTGAGACAGAGTATTGTTCTGTGATGTGGTTCAGAGTGGATAAGCTCTTAAAGCAGTAATCTTTCCAGTGGTTCTTTTGGTTGGGAAGTAAAATGGCAGGTGAATTTGGGCCTTGTTATATGTAGGGCAGAGCACATAGCTACAACTAAGTAAAAACACCCAGCACCTTCCCCAAGAGTATTGGCCAGAGTAACACATTAGTATCTCTTGAGCTCTTCTCCACTGGCAGCTGGAAAGTTTTTGCAAGAATCCCTGTTTCTGGTCTGATTCCTATGTTTTGCTGACTTCTGGTGATAAGGTGTTTTATCCTAAACTGAATAGTTTTAACTGAAGAGCTAGAGAGACTGTGTTGTGTTACAACAAAGTGCAGTAGTTCCCCCTTAACTGTGGGAGATACACTCAAAAGCCCCAGTGAATGCCTGAAAGCACAAATAGTACTGACTCACTCACTTTTTTTCCTATACTTACATATCTATGATAAAGTTAAATTGATAAATTAGGCATAGTAAGAAATTAATAACTAATAATGAAATGGAAAATTATAGCAACATGCTGTCATTAAAGTTATTTGAATGTGGCCTCTTAAAATATATGGTATGGTTCTCACCCTTTTCCTGTGATGATGTGAAGTGATACAATGCCTGTGTGGTGAGATGAAGTGAGGTGAATGATGTAGGCATTGTCATGTACTGTTAGGCCCCTATTCACCCCCTGACTCTAAGTCAGAAAAAAGATGATCAGCTTTAAGTGTTCCTGGACCTTCAGGCCTTAATGATGTTGATAGCTGGATGCAGGAGGAGACCATGTTGATGACTAGTGGCTGGACAGCATATGCAGTGTGAATTCACTGGACAAAGGAATGATTGACATCCTGGGATGGATAGAGGGCAATAGCTCATGATTGTATTGTGCTTCTCAGATTGGCACACTAACACTTATGACTTGTTTATTTCTGGAGTTTTCAATGTAATGTTTGGAATACAGTTAACTATTAGTATCTGTAACCACATAATTCAAAACTGCAGATGTAAAATCTGTTTGACTCATTTCTTGGTGTACAATTCTTAAACTCTAGAATTTCCAAAGTGATGTCTTTTGGTATGCTAATGATTGATGGCTGGAAGCTCCTAGGATGGGAACTGGTCACCGTCCTGAAGACATGACTGATTAAAGGGTTGAGATCTTCTGTCTCACTCTGCAAACTCTGGGGAGGACAGAAGGGCTGAAGGTTGTCAGTCCCTAACAGCCAGTGATTAATTAGTGATGCCTATGTATTAAAGCTTTCATAAAGACCCAAAGGGACTGGGCTTGGTGAGCTTCCAGATCGCTGAATACATGGAGGTTCCTGGAAGGTGGTGTGTCCTGAGAGGGCATGGAATCTCTCTGCCATTAGGCCCATACTTTGCATTATGCATCTCTTCATCTGTACCTTTTGTAATGTCATTCATAGTATACTGGTAAGTGTGTTTCCCTGAGTACTCTGAGCCATTCCAGCAATTCAATTTAACCCAAAGAGGGAGTCCTGGGAACCTCAATTTGAAGCCGATTGGTCCAAATATCTGGAGTTTCAGACTTAGGACTGATAGAGGGAGGCAGTCTCATGGGACTGAGCCCTTTATCTGTGGCATCTGATGCTATCTGCAGACAGAGGAAGAGAACTGAATTAGATGACACCCAGTTTGTGTCATCTGCAGAAGTGATTGCTTGCTTGTTGATGGGGAAAACCTCTCCACATGTTTGGTCACAGAAGCCGCCTTTTTTGTTGATTGTTGCTGTGGTGTGACAGCAGAGAAAAACTTGGCAAGTGTGTCTTTTCCACACATAAAGTAGATAAGGGGTATGGCTGTTTACTCTGATTTTAACTGCCCCCCTCATATTTTAGTCCAGAAATCATGCTGTTTGACACTGGTCACTCATTCCACCTGTTCTGCTAACAATACCATTTTTAGCCAATTTCATAGGGTTTGGCTAGGATGACTTGCATACTGCAGTTCACTTGTAGATATGAAATTTTGATAAATTTATTCTTCTTTGCATTGAAGAAATACAAAGTAAGGGAAGAGTTCTCACGGCATTAATTACATACCAATAGGTATAATTTATATTAATGCTAATAAAGTCCCAGGTATGCTCCCAGATGAATGCTTTGTAACAAAGCATCAGTCCTATACTTAAAAGAAAAATGGTCTAAACCAGGTACATAACTGTGCATACTTTTTATGAAGGTAGTCTTGCTGTGTTTCCTAAACTGGTCTCAAACTTCTGGGTTTCTCAAGTGATCCTCCTTCCTCAACCCCCCAAACAGTTGAAATTACAGGCATGTATCACCGTACTTTCTTATGGTTTTAATATTCTATACATTATTGATTTAAAATGCATTTTTTCTTTAATAGATTCTGGGAGTTCTGTTGAATCTGCAGTCAGGTAGGATTTTACATATTTAAAAAATTATGTTAACTAAGAATATAGATGGAAGAAACTAGTATCTATTGAGTGTGGTATTCTGGGCTAAATACCCTATTATGTGCCATGCATTTATCTCATAAAGCCATCAAAACATTTGTTTTCTTATAACCTACTGTTTATTAAATAGACAACTGTGGTTTAGAGAGAGGTTGACGAATGTGATCATGATCCCATAGCTTACAAAGTAGCTGACACACAGTTTGACCGTCAGCCTAACTGGCTTTCAAATCTGTTCTCTTCCTCCTCAGCACAGATTGATAGAGATATCTGTGCAGCACTTTGATCAAGATATAGGTCTGAATAAGATTAATCAGATGATTTTAATTAATGTCTAATGAGTTTAAATAAGTTAAACTCTTATTTTAGGTTACTGTTAGAGATGAGGTTAGTCCTTGAGTTTGTCCTAATTTGACAATTTTTGTGGTAACCAGCATCCTTTTATATTTATTTTTTAAATTAACCATCAAACCCTTTAGGGCAGCGTAAAGGTTTGGCCATAGGTTTACAAAACCAAGATTTGGCAAGCCTTGGAGAGAAATTATTTAACTTCCCAGTTTTGTTTTCTGTTTAGGCTAGTATTTCTGCCTACTTCCATAATGCTTTATTATTTTTTTTTCTTTATCCATGACTTTTCTTCCTTGGTGTTTTTTATTGTTTTCAAATTCTGCTGGCTATGTATTCCCAATTTTCCTATAGACAGAACCAAAAGCACATAAAATTACAGAAATTTAAGGAATCTTAGGACTAATTAAAATATCTTCTAGTACTTCAGTCTGTGTTGAATGTTCTGGTCAAATGATTTTCTAGATAGAGAACTTGAGACTCAAAGAGATAAGGATGATTTTTTTGTGGACATAAGACGTGGTAGAAATGAGATTTGAACTCGTTTTAAAGCCCAGTACTCTTCCTTTTTTTTTTTTTTTTTTNTCTATTGGCATTTTTGTTTTGTTTTTTTCAGACAGAGTTTCGCTCCTGTTGCCAGACTGGAGTGCAATAGCACAATCTCAGCTCACCGCAAACTTCGCCCTCCCAGGTTCAAGCGATTCTCCTGCATTAGCCTCCTGAGTATCTGGGATTACAAGCATGCACCACCATGCCTGGATAATTTTGTAGTTTTAGTAAAGACAGGGTTTCTCCATGTTGGTCTCGAACTCCTGACCTCAGGTGATCTGCCCGCCTCAGGTTCCCAAAGTGCTGAGATTACAGGTGTGAGCCACCATGCCTGGCCTGGCATGTGTTTTAATAATACAAAGGGGGAGTGAATCTGGTGCACCTAGTAGATAGAATGAGAATGAAATTAGCTGGTGAACCCAGTGGAAATGGCTAAGAATGGAATGAGCAGGGGAAGGCCGAGTTTGAAGAGAAACAACACTGGATATGGATTATTCAATAAGAGATTAGAATGTTGGGGTTTATGACAAGTCTGATAAATTATAAAGATGAAGGACACAAGATACTGGGGATTATCTCCAAAGGCACATTAAAATAGAGGGTTCAAGGAAGCTCTCAACAGATTGCTGTGTTCTTTTTAAATCAAGAACTGACAAACTTGAAAATTTTTATTGTAAGGTGCTAAAACCTTTGGAGGAGTCGCTACAGCAGACAGAAATGTGGTGTCATCTAATTCCATCCTGACTTACAGAGGGGTGACTTAGAGCTCCTTGAGTGCTGATGGGCTGGAGATTGCTGAACTACATAGATCTGTGGGCCAGGGCAGGTGTCGCCTCATCTCTGCCTTTTCCCAATTCACTGATGTCCTTTCCATATCCATGTAGGCTGGGTCAGGGTCATCACTGGCTGTCAAATCAGTCATGAAGTTCAGGAGGGTAGTTGGAGGTGTGTCTGTGCTGGTAGTAGACTCCAGTTAGGTTGTTACTCAGGAGCAGGGATATAAAGCACTCAATCCTGGTGATCTGAGGCCATCCTTTCAGGAATCTGTGGTTTCATAGACTGAATATTTGAAGATTGGAGACTGCCATGAAGCCCTGCATAAGTGGAACCTGGAAGTGGGAACCCATAGGAAGAAAGGTATTTAGATAGTACTTAGGGAAATAGAGGTACAACTGCCAGGACTCTGTTTTTCCAGTAATGTCTCCTGTTGGTTATCTGAGTGTCTATGAAGGTTTTTAAGGGCTTACTAGTTAATGTGGACTTGCATAAGTTAGGAACTAAAGAGTGAAAATAAGTGGATTTTTATAATTGTTAATGTTCTAATCTTTCTGGGAAGGGTATCCTCAATAAGAAAATACACCTTCGTTATTAGACTTTGGTACATTTAGCTCTCACACATTTCAAATATAGCAGGGGATTCTCTGTACTCTCTTAGGACAAAGAAAAGCATTGGGACCTTCTTTTTTTTTTTCCAATTTATTTTATTGCATTTTAGGTTTTGGGGTACATGTGAAGAACATGCAAGATTGTTGCTGGGACCTCCTTAAGTGGTTTTCATGCTGGGGAATCAAGACTGCCATTTTGAAGTGACACAGATTAGTCTTTTAATGAAAGACAGATAATGGGCAACAGACAGTGTATCTTTCTACCTTGTTTTAGGTCATAAGGTTCCTTCTAGTTTAGGTAACAAAAGTTATGTCATCCATTAATTGAATTTCATGTTCAGCTACAGGACAAATAATTTGTGAAAGAAATTATTGTCAGGCTCTGCCAATATATTGGCTGTTCACTATCTGTTATGGAGCTCAAGGTCAGTTTTCATTCAACATTGTATATATTTAGATAGGCAGAGGCAGACATAGGTAACCAAAATCTATTTTTAGAACAGAGGCCATATTTTAATTGTATCAAGAAATGTTATTTCATATAGAGATGGCTGACCTTTTCCCAGATTTTTTTTGTGTGTGTGTGTGTGTGGGGGGGGTAAGCTGAATATGAACTGGCAGTTAAAAAAATTAGTAAAAAAATCAACTTACTCATTTTTAATGTATATTTTTGCTCTAAAGCATTTTCCACGAACTGTGTGTGGATTCAGGCCCTAAACCAGATGATGAAAACTTGACTGTTACTACTAAGGTAAAGTGGTCTCTTGTAAAATTTTCTCACTCAGTAAACTTTTGCATAGTATTTACTTTTTAAAAATTTAGCAGTGGTTTCCCTGTTACTGTTTTATGATGGTTATGGAAAGTTGGTCAGAGAAAACCTTACACATATGGCTCATTGACTAAAAAATTTTATTTAATGTTGGTAACTAACAGAAGATTAAAAAGTATTGTGACAGGGTGGGGGCTGAACAAAAATGAACTGGAAGATACATAGCAACAGAAAAATCACATTAGAAAATGCTTTCCCCAATAGAGAAAATATGAAATTTGGTTAAGGTTTAATTAGATAAATGTTAATACTATGACTTTTAAATCATACTAGTGTGATATCTATATTTTTGCCAGTATAAATCTTCAGTGGATCCAATTACTTGTAATCATGGAATCTCCCTGGAACCTTTTAGTTGGAAAAACTGTACAACAAATAGCATATAACTCTTTTTCTTGGACACACATTAATTGGGTATTACATACTTGGTAGGAGAGATTGTTCCTCTACTTATATTATTGATTCTGTAGTGAGACTAACATACTAACAACTGCATAAAAAATAGCTGGGTGTGGTGATATACATCTATAGTCCCAGCTAATTGGGAGTTTGAGGTTGCCTGAGCCAAGTTTGAGAACCACCTGGGCAGCATAACAAGAATGCATCTGATTTATTTGTTTTTAAAAATTATACTAAGTTCTGGGATACATATGCAGAACATGCATGTTTGTTACATAGGTATACATGTGCTATGTGGTTTGCTGCATGCATCCCCGTCAGCTACATTAGGTATTTATCCTGTTATCCCTCCCCCGCACTGCTATCCCTCCCTTAGCCCCCTCTCCTCCTTAGAGGCCCTGGTGTGTGATGTTCCCCTCCTCCCTGTGTCCCTGTGTTCTTACTGTTCAACACCCACTTATGAGTGAGAACATGCAGTGTTTGGTTCTCTGTTCTTGCTTTCTGAGAATGGTTTCCAGTTTTATCCATGTCCCTGCAAAGGACATGAACTCACCCATTTTTATGGCTGCATAGTATTCCACGGTGCATATGTGCCACATTTTCTTTATCCAGTCTATCATTGATGGGCATTTGGGTTGGTTCCAAGTCTTTGCTATTGTAAACAGTGCTATAATAAACATGTGTGCATGTGTCTTTATAACAGAACGATTTATAAACCTTTGGGTATATACTCAGTCATGGGATAGCTGGGTCAAATGGTATTTCTAGTTCTATATCCTGGAGGAATTGCCACACTGTTTTCCACAGCGGCTGAACAAATTTACACTGCTGCCAACAGTGCAAATGCATTCCTATTTCTCCACATCCTCTCCAGCATCTGTTGTCTCCTGATTTATTAATGATCACCATTCTAACTGGCATGAGATGGTATCTCAATGTGATTTTGATTTGCATTTCTCTAATGACCAGTGATGATGAGCTTCTTTTCATGTTTGTTGGCTGCATAAATGTCTTCTTTTGAGAAGCATCTGTTCACATCCTTTGTCCACTTTTTGATGGGGTTTTCATGTAAATTTGTTTAATTTCTTTCTAGATTCTGGATGTTGCCCCTTTGTCAGATGGATAGATTGCAAAATTTTTTTCCCATACTTTTGGTTGCTGGTTCACTCTAATGATTGTTTCTTTGGCTGTGCAGAAGCTCTTAAGTTTAATTAGATCCCACTTGTCTGTTTTGGCTTTTGTTGCCATTGCTTTTGGTGTTTTAGTCATGAAGTTCTTGCCTATGCCCGTGTCCTAAATGGTATTGCCTCGGTTTTCTTCTAGGGTTTTTATGGTGTTAGGTCTTACATTTAAATATTTAATCCATCTAGAGTTAATTTGTGTATAAGGTGTAAGGAAGGGATGCAGTTTCAGCTTTCTGTAGATGGCTAGCTAGTTTTCCCAACACCATTTGTTAAATAGGGAATCGTTTCCCCATTGCTTGTTTTTGTCAGGTTTGTCAAAGATCAGATGGTTGTAGCTGTGTGGCATTACTTCTGAGGCCTCTCTTCTATTCCATTGATCTGTATCTCTGTTTTGGTATCAGAATTGCTGTTTTGATTACTGTAGCCTTGTAGTATAGTATAAAATCAGGTAGCATGATGCCTCTAGCTTTGTTTTTGCTTAGGATTGTCTTGGCTATGAGGGCTCTCTTTTGGTTCAATATGAAGTTTAAGGTAGTTTTTCCAATATTGTGAAGAAAGTCAATGGAACCTTCATGGGGTAGCACTGAATGTATATTTTGGACAGTATGGCAATTTTCACAGTATTGATTCTTCCTAACCATGAGCATGGAAATGTTTTTCCATCTGTTTGTGTCCTCTCATATTTCCTTGAGCAATAGTTTGTAGTTCTCCTTCAAGAGGTCTTTTCATCCCTTGTTAGATGTATCCCTAGATATTTTACACTCTTAATAGCAATTGTGAATGGGAGTTCACTCATGATTTGGCTATTATTGATGTATAGGAATGCTTGTGATTTCTGCACATTGATTGTGTATTCTTAGACTTTGCTGAATTTGCTTATCAGCTTAGCAGATTTTGGGCTGAGAAAATGGTGTCTTCTAAATATACAATCATGTCATCTGCAAATACAGACAATTTGACTTCCTTTTTTCCTGATTGAATACCCTTTCTTTTTCTTGCCTGATTGCCCTGACCAGAACTTCCAATACTGTGTTGAATAGGAGTGAGGAGAGAGGGCATCCTTGTCTTGTGCCGGTTTGCAAAGGGAATGCTTCCAGTTTTTGTCCATACAGTATGTTATTGTCTGTGGTTCTGTCATAAACAGCTCTTATTTTGAGATACATTCCATCGATACCTAGTTTATTGAGAGTTTTTAGCATAAAGGGCTGTTGAATTTTGTTGAAGGCCTTCTCTGCATCTATTGAGATAATCATGTGTTTTTTGTCTTGGTTCTGTTTATGTGATGATTATGTTTATAGATTTGCATATGTTGAACCAGCCTTACATTTCAGGGATGAAGCTGTGTTGATCATGATGGATAAGCTTCTTGATGTGCTGTTGGATTTGGTTTGCCAGTATTTTATTGAGGATTTTCCCATCAATGTTCATCATGGATATCAGCCTGAAATTTCCCTTTTTACTTGTGTCTCTGCCAGGTTTTGGTATCGGGATGATGTTGCTCTCAAAATGAGTCAGGTAGGATTCCCTCTTTTTGTATCGTTTGGAATAGTTTCAAAAGGAATGGTACCAGCTCCTCTTTTTACCTATGGTAAAATTCAGCTGTGAACCCATCGGATCCTGGACTTTTGTTTGGTAGGCTATTAATTGCTGCCTCAATTTCAGACCTTGTTATTGGTCTATTCAGGGATTTAACTTCTTCCTGGTTTAGTCTTGGTGGGGGGGAGGTGTATGTGTCCTGAAATTTACCCTTATCATCTAGATTTACTGGTTTATTTGCAAGAGGTGTTTGTAGTAATCGCTGATGGTAGTTTGTATTTCTGTGAGATCAGTGATGATATCCCTTTATCACTTTTTAATTGCATCTATTCTCCTCTTCTTTTATATTAGTCTGGCTAGTGGTCTATTGTGTTGATATTTTGAAAAAATCAGCTCCTGGATTCACTGATTTTTTTTTGAAGTGTTTTTTGTGTCTCTATCTCCTTCAGTTCTGCTCTCAACTTAGTTATTTCTTGTCTTCTGCTAGCTTTTGAATTCATTTGATCTTGCTCCTCTAGTTCTTTCAATTGTGTCAAAAGGGTGTTGATTTTAGATCTTTCCTCGCTTCTAATGCTAGAAATTTAGTGCTAGAAATTTCCCTGTAGGCACTACTTTAAATGTGTCCCAGAGATTCTGGTACGTTGCATCTTTGTTCTTATTAGTTTCAAAGAACATCTTTATTTCTGCCTTCATTTCATTATTTAGCCAGTAGTCATTCAGGAGCAACTTGTTCAGTTTTCATGTAGTTGTGCAGTTTTGAGTGTGTTTTTAAATCCTGAGTTCTGATTGCACTGTGGTCTGAGAGACTAGTTGTTATGATTTCTATTCTTTTGCATTTGCTGAAGACTGATTTACTTCATTATGTAGTCAGCTTTTAAGTAAGTGTGATGTGTTGCTGAGAAGAATGTATATTCTGTGGATCTGGAGTGGAGAGTTCTGTAGATGTCTATTAGGTCCACTAGGTCCAGATCTGAGTTCAAGTCTTGGATATCCTTGTTAATTTTCTGCCTCATTGATCTAATATTGACAATGGGGTGATAAAGTCGCCCACTATTACTGTGTGGGAGTCTAAGTCTCTTTGTAGGTCATTAAGAACTTGCTTTATGTATCTGGGTGCTCCTGTATTGGGTGTACAATATTTAGGATAGTTATCTCTTCCTGTTGTATTGATCCCTTTGGTCACTTTTGATCTTTGTTGGTTTAAAGTCTGTTTTATCAGAGACTAGGATTGCAACTGTTTTTTTTTTTTTTTTTTTTCTCTCCATTTGCTTGGTAAATCTTCCTCCATTCCTTTATTTTGAGCCTATGTGTGTGTTTGCACGTGAGATGGGTCGCCTGAATACAACGTACTGATTGATCTTGACGCTTTATCCAATGTCCCAGTCTGTGTCTTGAGTAGGCATTTAAGTCCATTTACATTTAAGGTTAATATTGTTATGTGTGAATTTGATTCTGCCATTTTGATGCTAGCTCATTGTTTTGCCCATTAGTTGATGCAGTTTCTTTATAGTGTCTATGGTCTTTAAAGTTTGGTATATTTTTGCAGTGGCTGGGACTGGTTATTCTTTTACATGTTTAGTGGTTCCTTCAGGAGATTTCTGTAAGGTCTGGTGGTGAAAAAATCTCTCAGCAGTTGCTGATCTGTAAAGGATTTTATTTCTTCTTCGCTTATGAAGCTTAGTTTGGCTGTATATGAAATTCTTAACGAATTTCTTTAAGGATGTTGAATACTGTCCTCCCACTCTTCTGGTTTGTAGGGTTTCTGCCAAGAGATCCGCTGTGAGTCTGATATGCTTCCCTTTGTGGTTAACCTGACGTTTCTCTCTGGCTGCCTTTAGTATTTTTTCCTTCATTTCAACCCTGGTAAATCTAACAATTATGTGCCTTGGGGTTGCTCTTTTGGAGGTATATCTTTGTGTTCTCTGTATTTCTTCAGTTTGAATGTTGACTTGCCTTGCTAGGTTAAGGAACTTCTCCTGGAAAATGTCCTGAAGAGTGTTTTCCAACTAGGTTTTACTCTCTCAGAGTCAGGTACACTGATTAAACATAGGTTTGGTCTTTTCACATAATCCTATTATTTCTTGGAGGCTTTGTTCATAATTCTTTCACTCCTTTTTCTCCTGTCTTGACTTCTCCTTTTATTTCATTGAGTTGATCTTCAATCTCTGATATCCTTTCTTCAACCTGATCAATTCGATATTGAAACTTGTGTATGCTTCATGAAGTTCTCAAGCTGTTTGGCCTGAGCCAGCATCCTGTACTAGCAGCAATGGGTAAAACCTAGCCCAGATGACAGTATCTCTGCCATGTGAAGCTCACTTTCCAGGACCAGGATGTAAGGAACCACAGGAAGGAAAGGGCATAGCCTCTGTGTCCCAAGCACTGCAAGAAGAGGTGATATTCAAAATAGGTAATTAGTTTGACAAGGTTATCAGCCAACAGGCAGAGGCCCAGGGACCCCTGAAGTGCTAGGAATTAACCCTTTGTTTCCAGATCAGAGAGCTCCTGAGAGTTCATTGTAAAAGGTACCTGGAGCAGTGGCTGATTCCACAGTAATCGGGAAGTATTTCAATATATGAGCAACTAGGAAACCAAGTTCTGCCAACAACCAGGTGAGCTTCAAAGTGGGCCCTTCCCCAGTTGAGTCTTCAGACGAGACCCCAGCCCTGGTAGATACCTTGGCTGCAGACTTAAGGAAAGACCCTGATAAAAATGCCAAGGGACAGCACAACTGGGTATCTGCCCCAATCCCAGGAAGAATCCACCCAGCATCAACAATAATCACCAGAACATCAACAATGACAAAGACAACCAACATCTGTCAAGGGCTCTCGGACACTCTACTATGTTTAAACAGATCACATCTCTTTCCTAGTTCACAACACCTGAGTGATAATGATGACTACGGCTCCCACTGTGCACTGGCTGTCTCATTCTTTGGTGCCAGGAGAGAAAGCGGCACAATTTAAGGCACCAAAGGGCTGAACCCAGAAGAGGTGGGAGAGGACCCAGGATGGAAGATACAAAAGAGATAAATATGCAGCTGGCAGCACAGTCAGGGAGACTGTGGGAACATGCTCAGGTAACATGAATAAAAGCAGAATTCAAAAATGCAGGCTCTCACACAACAGCCACAAGGAGACATAGACATGCCTGGAAGGGAAGCAGGGGCTGCAGATTATTCCTGGATGCAGGGAGGCAGTCTGCACCAAGGATTTTCAGTCCTGGTTGCAGGTGAATCACAAGGGGCTTTAATAAATAAAGTGGCACTCGGGCACAGTGGCTCATGCATGTAATCCCAGCACTTTTGAGGCCAAGGAGGGCAGATCACTTGAGGTCAGGAGTTCAAGACCAGCCTGGCCAGCCTGGCAGACTAAGTAAGGCGTTTATGCCAGGATGGAAACCAGTGCCTTCTGCTTCCTGTATTAAGAAAGCCTTGTAAGAAAAAAAATGTGAGCTGAGCTAAATGGCATGCCTGGTGCCATAGTTGATCTTCATTATGGTGCTGCCTCCTCATAATATCACCAACTGGTCACAAATTGTGGACTGTCAGTGTCCCGAGGACCACTTATCAAGTGTGGTTAGACCACAGATATGGCATGGTCTAAACACACTCTAAAATTTACTTATTTTGGGCTGGGCATGGTGGCTCACATGGGTAATCTCAGCACTTTGGAAGTCCGAGGTAGGTGGATCACTCAAGGCCAGGAGCTCCAGCCCAGTCTGGCCAACCTGGCAAAACCCCATCTTGGCTTTAAAAAAAAAAAAAAAATTAGCTGGGCATTGTGATGGAGGCCAAGACATGAGAATCTTTTGAACCTGGGAGGCAGAGGTCACAGTGAGCCAAAATTGAGCCACTGCACTCCAGCTTGGGCAACAGAGGAAGGCCCTGTCTCAAAAAACAAAAAATTGAATTTTTTTTAAAAATTGAATTTTTAAAAGTATACTTACTTTTCTTTCCCCACTAGAATGTCAGCTCCAGGTGGGCTGCTGTATCCTCAGTACATAAAACAATGCACAGCAGGTGCTGAACAAATACTGGTCATCCACTGTAGAAAAAAAGAATCAAATCATACAGAAAGACACAAAAAGTATACTGTCTTGTCTTCCATCAGTTCCTCTCCTCCAAAGTGTCAGTTTTGTGCTTGCTTTTAGAAGAAAATGTACAAGCATATAGGTTTTCTAAAAATATTTTGACAGATTTAAATTGGATCATACTGTACAGAGAGTTCTCTTTGTGTAGTTAATTGTATAACATCTGGGTTCATTCTGCTATTTTTTTAGTTTTGGTTTTGAAAGGGGGTCATGCTCTGTCCCCCAGGCTGGAGTACAGTAGTGTGATCATAGCTCACTATAGCCGCGAACTCCTTGGCTCAAGCAATCCTCCTGCTTTTGCTTCCCAAGTAGCTGGGACTGCAGGTGCACTGCTGTCATGCCTGGCTTGCTTCATTTGTGTTGATGATGCATGCTTGTCTGGCATGTGGATGTGCCCTGCTAGCATTACCTTTCATTCATTGCAAAAACAGGCTGTTCCCTGTTTTTTTACTATCATGATCTATGCTACACTGAGTGTTCTGGTACCTGTCCTGGAGTATGGTGACAGGTCTATCCCTGCCTAGCTTGCTTTGAAAAGTTTAAAAACAACAGTGTAGGTCAGGCACAGTGGCTCACACCTGTAATCCCGGCACTCTGGAAGGCAGAGGCAGGGGTGGATCACCTAAGGTCAGGAGGTCAAGATGAGCTTGACCAACGTGATGAAACCCCATGTCATCTAAAAACACAAAATTAGCCAGGTGTGGCTCATGTCTATAATTGGAGCTACTTGGGAGGCTCAGGCAGGAGGATCTCTGGAGGCCAAGAGTTGGAGACCACCCTCGGCAACATAGTGAAACCTGTCTCTATGAAAAAAAAAAATTAAAAAGGCCAGGCACAGTGGCTCACACCTATAATCCCAGCACTTTGCACTTTGGGAGGCCGAGGCAGGTGGATCACCTGAGGTTGGGAGTTTGAGACCAGCCTGACCAACATGGAGAAACCCTTCTACTCAAAATACAAAAATTGCCAGGTGTGGTGGTACATACCTACAATCCCAGCTACTCGGGAGGCTGAGGCAGGAGAATCACTTGGACCCAGGAGGAAGAGTGCGGTGAGCTGAGATTCTGCTATTGCACACCAGCCTTGGTGACAAGAGGGAAACTCTCTCAGAAAAAATACATATATAAAATAATAAGTCAGACATGGTGGTGCATACCTGTAATCCCAGCTACTCAGGAGGCTGAGGCACGAGAATCGCTTGAACCCAGGTGGTGGAGGTTGCAGTGAGCGGAGATGATGCCACTGTGCCGCTGCATTCCAACCTGGTGACAGAGCAAGACTTCGTCTCAAAAAAAAAAAGAGACCTGTTTGTTTCACTCCCTGAACCATCAGGGCCTACACATTGCTAAGCAAAAACAAAAAAACGAAACAAAAACAGCAGTCAGTTTCACCTGCTCAATGAATTAAGAGCCAGGTCAGTGGAGAAGCTTCTTGATTCAAACCCCATACTCCTACGTAGGCTCCGCCTCTCCCATGGTGTCTCCAGCAACCTGCTCACCTGGCAAGCTCCAGGGAACACAAAGGTGGGCATCCTTCTTTCATGAAAGGAAGCCAAGCCAGGCAATCAGCAGAGGCGTTGGTGATGAGGAATGCTGAAGTCCATGTTACAAATGTGGCATTCATAGCAGGGAGAACACCGCAGGTGAGGCTGAAGGAATCCAGGTAAGAGGTGATATTAGGGGGTCAACTTGACGGGGTTAAGGGATACTCACATAGCTGGTAAAGTGTTATTTCTGAGTGTGTGCCTGTGAGGATGTTTCCAGACGAGACTGGCATTTGAATCAGTGGACTCAATGAGGATCCATCCTCGCCCCATGTGACTGGGCACTACCCAATCAGCAGAGGGTCCAAACATAAGAAAATGTCAGAGAAATGGTAAATTCATGTGTTCTCTCTTCTGCAGCCAGGAGGTCATCCTCTCCTGCCCCTGGAAATCACAACTCCAGGCTGTCTGGCCTCTGGGACTTACTCCAGTCACTCCAGGTTCTCAGGCCTTTGGTTGTGGACTGAGAATTCCACCATCAGCTTCTGTGGGTCTGAGATCTTTGGACTTGATCTGAGCCATGCTACCAGCTTCTCGGGTTCTCCAGCTTGCAGATGGCCTAGCATAGGACTTCTTCATAATCACATGATCCAGTTTCCCTAGTAGATCCCCTCTCACCCTCAATCCATCCACTATCAATCTATCATCTATCCACCTATCATGTATCCATCTTCTATCTCTCTACCTACCAATGTATCATTTATCCATCCATCCATCCTACCAGTTCTGTCTCCATGAAATAACCAGGGACCTCACCTCTGCCTGCAAATGACCTTCAACTGGGTCAAGGACATGGGCCATTTCCATACAATGCTCAGCCACGGAGGTCCAAGCTCTGTCTCCCACGAGATAATTTCTTCGATCACCTGGACCAAACAGCCTTCCACCAGGGTCACAAGGTCCTCTGCTGATGTCCTACTGGTTGGCACCATGGATGGCCCACATTTCCATTTACCATCTGGGTCTGACTGAAGGCCTGTATCCTGGGCATCCCTGGAATAAAATGAGGAACTGATCCCGGGTCTGGGGTTTTTCTCTGTAGGGCCAACGGGTCTGCGGAGAATCCAATGCACCAGGCTGGCCCCATCACAGCTTACCATAGTAAGCTTACCACAGAACAGGCAACAGAAACAAAAACAGCCACCCTACTGCCCCCATGGCCACAATCCACTGCCCCGAAGTCACTTGCAATTTCATGTTCCAGCTAGTCCAGGTTCGGGATGCATCTTATGTCCTTGTTTAATTAGCAGTTGTTTTTCTTTCTTACTGTTACACACAATACCGTATCATGCAATGGATGATGTCTCAGATTTGACGAGTTAAGGTATGTGCAGTGGAAGCCCTGACCTGATTCCCAAAAGAATGACAGAGGTGGCGCAGTGGGACACACCTTACCTAGCGGGTAGAGCCTAAAATCCAGTACAGCAAAAATCACCCACAAATGGGGCTTCTTTGGCTAAACAAACGTACATGGTCAGCTGGGTGTGGTGAACACAAACCCTTCAAAAAGCAGGAACACGCAGGGTGCCAGATGCTCAGAAAGGGACAGAAAAAGTGAGACTGACTCAAGGAGGGACAGTCACATGCCATGGCAAACAGCATCAACTCCCTGCTTGGGCAGTGTTTTTTTCTTTTCTTGAGACGGAGTCTCACTCTGTCTCCCAGGCTGAAGTGCAGTGGTGTGATTTTGGCTCATTGCAACTTCCACCTCCTGGGATCAAGCGATTCTTATGCCTCAGTCTCCTAAGTAGCTGGGATTACAGGCACTCGACACCAAACCCAGGTAAATTTTTGTATTTTTGGTAGAGATGGGGTTTCACCATGTTGGCCAGGCTGGTTTCAAACTCCTGACCTTGTGATCCACCCGCCTTGGCCTCCCAAAGTGCTGAGATTACAGGCATGAGGCACCATGCCCAGCTTCTCTCCTCTTCTACTCAGTTGCCTTAACGACTTGTGAGATTTTACCCCATTTGGCAGAAAAACAAACTGAGGCCCAGAGGAGATGCGAGAACCATAAAGCTAGTAATAGGCAGCATTGCTAGGGCCACAGCCTGGATGCAGGCCACAGGGGCAAGAAGGAGGGAACCAGGGCATCCTAGAGGACAAGCAACTCACACTTACTTCCTAGACTTGGTGCGTTTTTTCTTCCAGTTCTTTACCAAAACAGGCACGACTTGTTCCAAGGACAAATTCTCCTTGTTTAAGGACCAGAAGCCACTGCTATCCAGGGTCTGGTGGTAGCCCTGGACAATCAACCTGAGGCCAAGACACAAAGGGGTGTCAATGAGAGGAGGAGGAGGACGGAGCGTGGAGCTCACTCACTCTGCATACATGCCGATGCTGTGCCCTTGCCCAGCACAACGGCCCAGTGCAAAGGCAGGCAGCCACGAAGCTGGGGATGTCTGAATGTGGATAGACATTTGCACATATTACAAGGTTATTATAGCTCATTCTGTTGGGTCATAAAGGAAAAATGGCTTTCTTTTTGGGGGTGCGTATAAAAGATTTAGGGAAAAAAATATCAAGATGGCTCTAATTCACTATTTTTTTTCATTCATTTTTTTGTTTTTTTGAGATGGAGTCTCGCTATGTCACCCAGGTTGGAGTGCAGTAGTGTGTTCTTGGCTCACTGCAACCTCTGCCTCCGAAGTCTGGGACTACAGGCACACGCCACCACACCTGGCTAATTTTTTGTATTTTAGTAGAGATAGGGTTTCACCATGTTGCCCAGGCTGGTCTCAAAGTCCTGAGCTCAGGCAATCTCCCCGCCTCAGCCTCCCAAAATGCGGGGATTACAGGCATGAGCCACCATGCTTGGCCTCATTCCTTTATTTGGTGGTGGTCTCGCTCTGTCACCCAGGATGGAGTACAGTGGCACGATCATGGCTCCCTGCAGTTTCCAGCTCCTGATCTAGAGTGATCCTCCCACCTCAGCCTCCTGAGTGGCTGGGACTTCAGGTGTGAGCCATTATGATTGGCTAATTATTTTTTATTTTTATAGAGACAGAGTCTTCCTATGCTGCCCAAGCTGATCTTGCTCCTGGAAGGATTGCTCCTGGGCTCAAGCAATCCTCCCACCTTGGCCTCATGAAGTGTTGGTATTATAGGTGGGAGCCACCATGTCCCTTCAACTTTTTAATATTTTACATTAAAAAAGGCTAACGTGGGCCAGGATCAGTCGCTTATGCCTATAAGCCTAGCACTTCAGGAGGCCAAGTTGGGAGGACTTTGTGAGCTCAGGAGTTCAAGACCAGCCTGTGCAACACTGGGTGACTATCTACAAAAAGTAAAAATAAAAAATATTACCCATTCATAATGGCTCACACCTGTAGTCCCAGCTCCTCAAGAGGCTGAGGTGGGAGGATTGCTCAAGACCAGGAGGTGGAGGCTGTAGGGAGCCATGATCGTGTCATTGCGCTCCAGCCTGGGCAATAGAGCCAGACTTAAAAAGAAACAAGTTGAGGGGGGGAAAAAAGGCTGACATGACAAAGCATTAGCAGTCATGAAATCTGGGTGATAAGCTTATTGAGTTTTATTATATTAGTCTTTCTACGTGACTCTACCCAGGCTAGAGTGCAGTGGCGCAATCTCAGCTCAGTGTAACCTCTGCCTCCTGGGTTCAAGCAATTCCCCTGCCTCAACCTCCCAAGTAGCTGGGATTACAGGCACATACCACCAAGACCAGCTAATTTTTGTATTTTTTAGTGGAGACAGGGCTTTACCACATGGGCCAGGCTGGTCTCAGACTCCTGACCTCAGATAATCCATCCACCTTGGCCTCCCAAGTGCTAACATTACAGCTGTGAACCACCGCACTCGGCCAACTGAACACTTAAAAAGTTGAACACTTTCATTTTTTGTTTTAAAATAATTTCAAACTTACAGAAAAATTACTGAAATCATACTAAGAATTCACTCAACTCACTGCTATTAACATGTTGTCAAATTTACAGTATCATTCTGTGTCTGTCCATTCACACACACATACATGCGTGCGTGCAAACACATCCTCTTTTTCTAAACCAAACATTTAAAGGCCTAGCACAGTGGCTCACACCTCTAATCCCAGCACCATGGGAGGTTGAGGTGGGTGGATCACCTGAGGTCAGGAGTTTGAGACCAGTCTGGTCAACATGGTGAAACCCCGTCTCTACTAAAAATACAAAAAATTAGCTGGGCATGGTGGCGCATGCCTGTAATCCGAGCAACTCAGGAGGCTGAGGCAGGAGAATTGCCTGAACCCAGGAGGCGGAGGTTGCGGTGAGCTGAGATCGCGCCATTGCACTCCAGCCTGGGTAACAAGAGCGAAACTCTGTCTAAAAAAAAAAAAAAAAAAATTAGCCAGGCATGGTGGTGCATGCCTGTAATCCCAGCTACTCAGGAGGCTGAGACAGGAGAATTGTTTAAACCCAGGAGGCAGAGGCTACAGTGAGCTTAGATCATGCCACTGCATTCCAGCCTGGATGACAGAGCAAGGCTCTGTCCCCTCCCACCAGAAAAAAAAAGATGTAGGCTCTACATATCTTTACCCCCAAAACACTGGGGGTATCCCTGAACAATCCAGGACATGCTCTTATGTAACTGGAGCACAATTTTCCAAAACAAGAACGAATGTTATTAGTATGTACCTGGTGTCCTGCAGTCATATACAAATTACATTAACTGTCCCAGTTAATTGCTCTTTAATAGCAATTTGGAGAAATTATTTAAAACATCTAATCTTTTAAAAAGATGTTGGTAAAAAGTTCATAGAAGAATGAGACTGGGCATGAGGGCTCATTCCTATAATCCCAACACTCCTGGAGGCTGAGGCGGAAGAATCACTTGAGCTAAGGAGCTGGAGACAAGCCTGGGTAACATGGTAAAACCCCATCTCTGCAAAAAAAAAAAAAAAAAAATACAAAAACCTGTTGGGCATGGTGAAGCATGCCTATAGTCCCAGTACTCGGGAGGCTGAGGCAGGAGCATCACCTGAACCTGGTAGATCAAGACTGCAGTGAGCTATGACTGTGCTACTGCACTCCAGCCTCAGCGACAGAGAGAAAGCCTGTCTCCAAGAAAAACGAAAAGATGATGCGTATTAGGGTGAAAAAAAGATTCTTTAAATAATCCCCAATAAGATGTTGACAATGGGCAGAATAAGATGTACAAAAAGAAAACCACAAGGTGGCTCGGCATGGTGGCTCACACCTGTAATCCCAGCACTTTCGGAGGCTGATGCGGGTTTATCACCTGAGGTCAGGAGTTCAAGACCAACCTGGCCAACATGGCAAAATGCTGTCTCTAATTAAAAATACAAAAATTAGTAAGGCATGGTGGCACACACCTGTAATCCTAGCTACCTGAGAGACTGAAGCAGGAGAATCACTTGAACCCAGGAGGCAGAGGTTGTAGTGAGCTGAGACCGCACCACTGCACTCCAGCCTGGCAGACAGAGTGAGACTCCAACTCAAAATGAAAAGAAGACCAGAGGGGGGAATACTAAAATGGTGACAGTGGCTGCCTCTAGGTGTCTTCTTACTACTGATCTGCACATTTTTTAAACTCATGTTTCTTCCTATGGTGAGATAGTTTTATTTTTCTAAGGAGTGGGGGATGAGATGGGAACAATGTCAATAATAACTATACCTAATATTTAAAAAGCTCAAACCTGTCAGGTTGAACATGGTATCTATGCAAGAAATAAAAAATATAAAACAAAAACCCAAATCTGAAGCTAAAGGAAGAGCAGTCCAGCGTATGGCTGTCCCAGGCCAAGCCTTCTGCAGAGATTTAAGCTGTTCATGGCTCATGCGTTTATTACATTCAAGGTGATGGACTTGGAGGACAGAGTTGGTGTCTCTGAAACCACATGGCCAGCACAGGCAGATTCAAGACAGCTCTGCAGAAGAGCGAAGGAGAGAGAAGTCAAGCGGAAAGCTCAGCATGTTCATTCATTTATTCATTCATTCATTCATTCATTCCCCACCACCTCCCTGAGGTCTTGGGGGCCCAGCCTTACCCTGTGATCCACCAGAAGGTGATCCTGGACAGGAAGGAGGCGCTGGACTCTGGGCAAGGATTCTAGCGGAAAAAAAGAACAGGTTAGGGAGGAAGAGGGAAAGGAATGATTCAGCTTTTCATCCAGGCCAGAGCTTGACAAGGAGTAGTCAGCTGCCCATTCTTCCTTCAAGAGGACCAGGGTCCACTCCATACCATTCTTCACCCCAAAAGGATTCTCTCCTAAGCCCCAGGAGAAAGAAACTCATAGCAGCTCCTCTCCTTTCAAACAGAGTGTCTACCAGGTACAACCACAAGACAACAAGCTATCGACCTGCCTTATCTTCTATCCCCACAGCAACCCTAGGAGCTGGTGTTACCATCTTCCCGACTTCACTTATTCAACAAATACTTTCTGAGCACCTACTATGTGCTAGGCACTCTACAAGGTACTACAGAGTTACCTTAGATCCCCATGACAACCTCATAAGCTGGTATTACTATTGTCCCCATTTTACTCATTCAGGAATTGAATATTTATCGAGCACCTACTATGAGCTAGACATGCTACCAAGAACTTATATACTTGCATTATTTTATATCCTCATGGAATTCTATAAACATGGTATTACTATTATCTCCACTTCATTCATCCAACAAATATTTCCTGAGTACCATCCATGTGCGAAGCACCCTGCATACAAATCTGAACAGAAATGACCCCTGCCTCTATGGAGCCTGTGGTTCACTGCAGTAATCATCAGTAATACCTGCCAAGATTATATGCTATTAAGAGCTAGCTCTGTTCTAAGTGCTTTACACAAATTACCCTATTTAATCTTCATCCCCACCTACAAGGTAGGTGAAAGTATTATATCATCCATGTTCTGCAGTTAAAAGAAACTGGGGACCAGAGATGAAATGATTTGTTCAATGTCCCACAGCTAAAAGTGATGGAGACAGGACGTGAGCCCCAAAGAGTCAGGCTCCAAAGAGAGACATGCATCAAATGATCACACGAACAAATGCAAAACTGCAACTTCTGGGCCTTGATATACGTCCTAAGGTAGAGAAATATTACCAGTGAGACAAAGTCAACACATGGGGGTTGATCTGGTGTACCAAGGTCAGAGAAGGCTCCCCTGATGAAGACAGTCAAGCTGGCGCCTGAAAGATGAGAACTAAGTAACGAGGAAAGGCAAGGCATTCCCAGCAGACAGCAGCACGTGCAAAGGCCTGGTGGTAAAAGGAAGCATGGCAGACTCCAGGAACAAAAAGGAGGCCTGAGCAGTCTACACTGATAGCTGTTCACAGCCTACACTGCAGGCCACATTTTTTGTATTCATTCTAAGGGCAAGGGAAAGTACTGAGAACCTAAGCAAGCTATCAAAGAATTTATTTCCCAGAGGCATAAAGATGAGCCCCAACTCAACACAGGCAAGGAAAAGGACGGACACAGAGTCCTGAGATGACAGACCAAGCCTGGCTTTCAACACAGATGCATTTGGGTCAAAATTCTGAAACAAAAGCTTTAAGCAGGAGAGGGAATAAAGGTCGCCATGGAGCAATGAGAGCTTCAGCCAAGGACTCGACTCAAAGTTCCAGCCTTGTGCAGAGATAAGGGGTTTACAGAACCCAATAAGGCAGCAAACTCTCCTCAAGCGGTTTTCCATCCAAGGCTGGGCATGCTTTTAAAAAAATATTGTATCCTGGCAGGGTGTGGTGGTTCATGCCTGTAATCCCAGCACTTTGGGAGGCCAAGGCAGGCAGATCACTTGAGGTCAGGAGTTGGAGACCAGCCTGGCCAACATGACAAAACCCCATTTCTACTAAAAATACAAAAATTAGCTGACAGTGGTGGCTCATGACTGTAGTCCCAGCTACTCAGGAGGCTGAGGCGAGAGAATCACTTGAACCCAAAAGGCAGAGGTTGCAGTGAGCTGAGATCCCACCACTGTACTCCAGCCTGGGGACCCTGTCTGTATCTGGGCCCTATCCCCATCAGGGATTCTGATTAAGCTGGTTTGGGGTACGACTGGTACACTGAAACTGTGTTTTTGTTTTAAATGTTCACATTCTTCTTGAAAAAGTGGCTGGGCAGGAAATATGCAAGATAAGCCAAGAACATCTTGTCACACTGGACAACAGAGAAACTAAGCATGAACAGGATTGTTAGAAGGCCCAAGAGCAAAGCAGAAGTGCCACCACAGGCTAAAGAAGGGACAATTTGAGCTTTGACAAGGAAAGTAAGTGCAACGGGATGAAACATATCATGTATGTTTGGTTTGTTTGTTTGTTTGGAGATGAAGTCTTGCTCTGTCTCCCAGGCTGGAGTGCAGTGGCGTGATCTTGGCTCACTGCAATCTCCGTCTCCTGGATTCAAGTGATCTTCCCGCCTTGGCCTCCCAAGTAGCTGGGATTACAAGCATGAACCAAGACATTGGGCTAATTTTTCTATTTTTAGTAGAGACACGGTTTCATCCTGTTGGTAACCAGGCTGGTCTTCAACTCCTGACCTCAAGTGATCCACCCGCCTCAGCTTCCCAAAGGGCTTGGATTACAGAAATGAGCCACCACACCTGGCCAAAAACATCCATTTTTACTTAAAGTTTTAATGATTAATTTCACAGTATAATGTGAAAAGTAATGAGTCTCTGGCAGTCTTATCCCGAAAACTGGGGCTCATTATAAAGCACTACTTTGCTCAGTCCCATTTTCCTTCAAATCACCTATTTTGAGTCAATACACTAGTTTCATTTTCCACCTCTGTATAGGGGCGGTAAATACTACTAGGAAAAAACCCATAATTAGCACAAGTACGAATTCAAGGTTTCCAACCTGAGCATAAGCATTGCTTTGTAATTTTTTTTTTTTTTTTTAACCCATCCCAGGTTACAGTCTCCTATTACCCCAAAATGAAATCTCAAATGTCCTCCATTCTTCAAAAAAACCCATGCTGCCCCCTCAGTGGAAAACATCAACCATGAATTATAGATCTCTTCACTTTACCTTCACACCACCTATTTCTGTCCCACTGACTGTGCTTATTACCATAGATGTCTAGCATTAGACCGAACTCCTAGGGAAAAGGAACTCACATTCATTTCTTGGTCCCAAGGGCTAAACTCCAAAGCATAATTAGGGAAAGAACTCCTGTTCTTGTGTCAGTTTGCTTAGAATGATTAAGGCAGCAAATCACCTTGCCATGTATGTACCTATGCTACAATCCTGCATGATCTGCACATGTACCCCAGAACCTAAATTACAATAATAATTTTTAAAAACTCCAATTCTTTCAAGTTCTGAATTCATGGTCCTCTCAAACATAGCAGTGTACTCAAGCTCTGCTTGTTTTCCTGATCCAGTTCTCCAACTTTTGTGCTGCTGGTGGGGGGCCGGTTCCTTACAAAATAGGCCAGGAAAGCAAAAATGTCTAGAGATTATTCCCACATGGTAATCTTTGCAAATAAAACTCTTAGGCCTAACTTTATACTAATAAAAATTTCATGATACTTTTTTTTTTTTTGAGACAGGGTCTTGTTCTGTCACCCAGGCTAAAGTGCAGGCTAAAGCTGACTACAACCTCATCCTCCTGAGCTCAAGCAGTCCTCCCACCTCAGCCTCCCACATGTTGGGGCCATAGGCACAAGCCATCATGTGTGGCTAATTTTCTGTAGAGATGGGGTTTCACCATGTTGCCCAGGCTGTTCTAAAACTTCTGAGCTCACAGGATCTGCCTGTCTCAGCCTGCCAAAGGGCTGAGATAACAGGCATGAGCGACTCTGTCCAGCACAATACCACATTTTAATTGTGTGTCGAGGTAGCTGGATTGAAGGAAGAAATGGGTACTCTATTTTCTTTTAATTTGCTGTCCTAAGGGGTTTTAAACACACTAATATTAAAGTTTAAATGCCCCAGAGCTGAAAAAGAGATTTAAAAACTTGACAGTCTCACAGCATCTGGTATAAGTTGAAGAAAAATAATAAAATGCAAAGTACTTAATATTTTAAAAGAATTTGAGTGAATTTTACATCTATAAATATGAAATCAGAATAATCTGAGGAAACGATTTCAGAGATGAAAAATTTCAGAGATGAAAAGCATGATTTGTCAAATTTAAAACAGCAATAGAAACAATAAGCAACATATGAAATATAACCAAACAAAAATTAGTAACATAAAGAAATCAGCAAATGAATTATCCTACAACTCAAATCAAAAGGACAAAATAGATTAACAAAAGAAAAAAATGTTAGAAATATACAGATCAACCTTACCAATACTGTGTATAGAAAGAAAACAGTATTTTTTTTTGACAAATTTATTGAGCATCAAGCATCTAGTACACTATAGTCATGATACAATAGAGAATAAGAGAGACATGAAATGTCTCTTCAAAACATCCACATTCTAGAACAAATGAAGCTGAAGTCATTTCATTTGCTTATGAAGAAAGGGGGCAGAAAGAGAAGAAAGGGAAAAAAAATGTATACATTTTATGTTTTAGCCAAATTTAAGACAAAGAGATTATGATAGAATTTCAAAGATTTCAGAGATAAAGTATCCTTCAAGCACGGTGAGGACTGGGTGTCCAGGGTAATCCAGTTTAAAAAAAAAAAAAACTGGGTGGCAATGTTTTTAAAGGAATACCACATGTGGACAAGGACAGGGTTAAATTGGTACTCCCATACATTTGAAATGGGAACATAACTTGTTTTAATTTTCCAGATGTAAATTTGACAACTCCACTTCATGTACAGCATAAGAACCTTACTAAGGTTTCTGCCAGGCATGGTAGCTCACACCTGCAATCCCAGCACTTTGGGAGGCTGAGGAAGGTGAATCGTTTGAGGTCAGGTAGATCACCTGAGGTCAGGAGTTCAAGACCAGCCTGGCTAACATGGTGAAACTTCATCTCTACTAAAAATACAAAAATTAGCTGGGTGTGGTGGCGCATACCTGAAATCCTAGCTACTTGGGAGGCTGAGGCAGAATTGTTGAACAGAGGCAGAGGTTGCAGTGAGCAGGGGTTGTGCCACCACACTCCAGCCTGGGCAACAAAGTGATACTCTGTCAAATAAATAAGACCTTAGTAAGGTTTCTTATACCCTTCCCATCACCTTCCATTCTTTGTGCTACTGTCATACCTTTTACTCCAACGTGTCATAAAAGTTATAACTTATTATTTTTGCTTTAAACAACTATCTTTTGAATGCTACTATTTCTTTAATTCACAATGTTGTGCAGCCATCACCATTAATTGTAGAACATTTCCATCACGCAAAAAGGGAAATCCTGTACCTGTTAGCAATCACCTTCAATACAACAATCTTTAAAGAGATTTAAAAAGAAAAAAAATTGTCTTATTTTTTACTCCCAAAGTTACCATTTCTAGCACTTCTCAATCCTTTGTGAAGATCTAAATTTCCATTTAAAATCATTTCCCTTCTGCCTGAACAACTTCAACATTTCTTGTAGAGGTCTGCCAGCAACAAGTTCCAGTAGAACTTTTTTTTTTTTTTTTTTTTTTTTGGAGATAGGGTCTCACTTTGTCACCCAGGCTAAAGTGCAGTATGGCTCAAATACAGCTCACTGCAGCCTCTGCTTCCCCAGCTAAAGTGACACTCTCACCTCAGTCTCCCAAGGAGCTGAGACCACAGGCGCACGTCACCATACCTGGCTTTTTGTTTTTTGTAGAGATGGGGTTTCGCCATGTCACCCAGGCTGTTCTCGAACTCCTGGGCTCAAGCAACCCTCCTGCCTCAGCCTACCATACTGCTGAGATTTCAGGTGTTGGCCACTGCACACAGCCCCAGTAGGATTTTTTAAAAAGTACTTTAAAGATGTCTCTCCAGGCCAGGTGCAGTGGCTCACACCTGTAATCCCAGCACTTTGGGAGCCTGAGGCAGGCAGACCGTGAGGTCAGGAGTTTTGAAACCAGCCTAGCCAACATAGTGAAACCCCTTCTCTACTAAAAATACAAAAATATTAGCCAGGTGTGGTGGCATGCACCTGTAATCTCACCTACTCAGAAGGCTGAGGCAGGAGAATTGCTTGAACCTAGGAGGTGGAGTTGCGGTGAGCTGAGATCACACCACTGCACTCCAGCCTGGGCAAGAATGACTCTGTCTCAAACAAAAAAAAAAAAGTCTCTCCACTGTATTTTGATTTGCTAAGTTCCTGATGAGAAGTCTGCTGTCATTCTTACCTCTGTTACTCTATACATGATGTGTATTTTTTTCTCTGCCTGCTTTTAAGATTTTCTCTTTATTATTGGTTGCCAACAATTTGATGATGATATGCCTTGGATGTGGTTACCTTTATAGTTATTCTCCTTGGGGTTCTTAAATATGTGGGCTTATAGTTTTCATCAAATTTGGAAATTTTCTGGTCATTATTTTTTACAATATTTTTTTCTGTTCTCCCCTTTCCCTCTTTTCTGGAGCTCCAATTACATGTATGTCAGGCTGTTTCTAACAATTGTCCTTGTTATAGTCATTGATTCTCTATCAATTTTTCTATTTTTCTTTCTGTTCTAATTTTGGACAGTTTCTATTGCTGTCCTGAAGTTCACTGATAAGCAGTGCCTAACTACTGTTAATGCCATCATTGTACTTTAAAATTTATTTCCAACTCTAGATGTTCTGTGTGGATCTTTTTAAAATATACCTTCTAGTTCTCTTCCCATTAGGTTATCCATTTCCTCTTCTTTTTTGAACCAAGA